CCTCCCATTTTTAGGTTAGTTCTTCACCCCAGCGCGAACTCCTTTTTTCCCAAATTCCAGGTGGGGTCAGCGGAGAAGGGATAGGCAGCGCCCCTTTATGGAGCTGGTCCCGGTGACCGGTAAAGAATAGAGAGCAGGGAGTCGGAGAGAAATCGAGAATTAGAGAAACGTATTGAAAGAAGGAGTTGGGTGGAGACTCGATCGACCCGTATCGCGGTCCTCTCAAAACTTTCCTAGATTCCCCGTCGCGTTGCGGCCCGCCAAAAAACATGGATATCTGATTGTCGGCTGGCATGGAGGGCTGGCTAGGGCTATTGATTTTGCGATTTCGTTTTAAAGTGGCTGGAATCGTAAATTTGGGGCTGGATCATTCTAATAAAAATACTTTTAACTCTAGGTATTAATCCCTAGAGATTGTCCATGCTTGATCGATCCTACCCCCTTTATAGAATTTTTTGTTAAATATTGCTTCTAAATGTAATTAATGTCCTTATGTGCTTTCCAATCCCTTTACTACAACCCGATATCGGGCGTCCAACTGTAACACCAGCCCTCCTGGCACCCCTTGCATAATTTTAGCTCGGCACCAACTTGGGGCGGAATGGCGTCACAAAGGAAGGCTGCCGCGCGTCAACCTTTTTCATCCTCTTGATCGGCCGGAGTTTTAGAAGTTTTTTTAAAGAAACATTCCACTCCCAGCTTTTAATGAAACAGCAAAAACCCATGCCACGGCCGGGGGTCCAACCCTGGCCCTGCGCGCGGAAAGCGAACACAAAACCAATGTGCCAACAGGCCGATAGGTCGGGACAGGACCCATTGACCCATGCGCCGTATCCACGCATTAGGAAACAGACCCTGCCTGTTATAGCCTGGGCCGATTTTATAAAATTGCGAGGTAAATGTTTCTTTAAAGGCTTGTGGGGGATCATAGGTGAATAGGTTTGAATATATCTTTTTAAAAGCATTATGGATATTATAATCTGTCTTTATTTTTTTGTAGCTACATAGGTGATTTTTCTGTAAGGTTTTAAGTTTCTACAGGCTTTAACGATGCACAATCTCGATAAAGTTTGCTTTGACTACTTTCTTCAATATAAGTCGATGTCGTCGATGCAAAAATTGATAGAAATGGCCTTCTTTATCCCTTTAATGCCCTCACAACTTTTCAAACCCGTGACCCACCTACTTTCAAACACTCAATACCTTCAAACACTCCTTCCACCTTCTTTCACTCATTGCTCGAGGCTAAAAACCTGGTTGGTTGAGGGAGGGCCAGGTGGTGAGGGGCAGGCATCTGCCCTCGGCTCCGCCTCTAGCCCCAAATACAGCTCCGCCCCCATCCCATCGACGCTCTACCCATCCGATCATCCTTTGGTCCATCACATCCTCCTCCTCCTCCCCATTTCTAAAAACCCAGCCTCCCCAGCAGCGCGATGCCGTCCTGGGTCTGGCATCTTGGTCATGGCCCCTATCGATGCACATGACTAGATCCATACTCAGCTCGGCGTCGAGCTATTTTATTCACTACCCAATGTCTATCTATTCTATTCGGATTTCAATATGGTAATACATATTTATTCATTGTTTTAAATACCTTCCCCCTGTTTTGTATCGGCGCCTCATGTCCGTCAGTTGCCTCGTGATCCGTGAATTCGGTACAGATCGAATCACAGCCAACTGTTGGTCAGGTGGCCGCCGAATTACCGGAATATTTTTATTTTTTCAGCTTGCCTACTATTTTTGTCTTTTTTACAAATTTTTACCGATATACGAACCTTAGTAAGTAGCAAATAAAAATATAACAGCAGCATTTTTACGAATTTTTCTTAGATGTTTACTATAACCGGGGTTTTCAGCCTAGGGTTATCTTAGTTCCTTTTTTTTTGCTACAATTTAAAGAAGGCACAGTTGGGTACAGATAAATATAAACTTAGTTTAGGAACAATATTTTGCCGGCGAATAATTTTAATGATAATTTCAGCAAAACAAACTCTTCTCTCTGCGTAATTTGTTGTATTCGTACTAGCAGAACACCGGCTTTACAAGTACAGCGGTCAAATGTCATAATTTGGAAATTAAAATCAAAGCCGTAAAACTAGATTAGATAAATCATTTCCTTCAACCCCGTTCAAAACGTCAACCGAAATTTGTTGTGTAGTGTAGCCGATGTGCGGGGGGTTTGGTGGGTGTCCCCGTGCAGATGTTCACCGCGCATCGTGTCACCGAAAAAGCCATCTGTGGCTGTGGCCTAGCGGGAAGAGGGAGAGGATGTCGAGTGGCAGCTGGACACGTCTGCTCAACCAAGATCCCCCCCACTACCCGTTCCCTCATCAACATTTATAACATGCCTCACAAACTGGAAAGGGTGAAGGTTTTATTCTAAGCTACGAGGCGTCTTCACATTTCGAACTTATGGTCGTTATTGCTGGACAAAGAAGAATTTGAATCTACCATTCCGCTCGCCCCTTTCCCAAACCCAGAAAACATGTTATTTGTTTACGAGCACGGGGGTCGGAACGTGGGAAATGGTGCCCCGCTAAAGACATTCAATCGCATGACCCCGCAGGCCATTTGAACGTGTGCCACCGGCTACAGTATCTTCGCGGGGGCTGGCACCATTTTTTTGCGAGCTACATGCGAAAGGGCACTGTACGGGACGTGTTCGTCATCGGTCGGCCCCTGGGGGAAATGGGGTGGGGGGTGCAGGCATTCAAAAGCTCTTTGGGGGCCGGAAATTTGCGTTCAAAAATGGGCGGCGGTGTTGTTAAGAGGGCCGTAAGGTCTTACTCGCTTACAAATGGAAATAAATAAATTGAGAGGTAACAGAAATTAAGGATTTAAATCTCCTTTAAAATTTATCATCCCCACCAATCTAACCCCCTAAACCTTCTCCAAAAACCCCGCTGTTTTCCCAACTTCACCACCCCGATCAATGTCATTCCATTGAGGTCGTCGTCGAGGGCACATCGGTGGCTCCGGCTGGCTGCTGCTCAGAGGTCTTTTTGTGTGAGTAGGCAAGGGGGGCTGGGGGTAGGGGGCAGCCGTTTTTTTTCAAGGCCATTCGACCCAGAGGTGGGCAGCCGAGCTCGTTCCCGCCGAATGCCTCCGTCTTCTCCCCGTGGTCCGACCATAGCGCACAGGGATCGTCTTGGACAAAGGAGCCGCGCGTACTCCTGGTTGGGTAGGGTGGAAGGGGGGCGCTTCCCGTAGCCCCATCAGGGGGGCGCCCTTTTGCGGACGATGAGCCATCATGGGAATATATAGATGGGGGCATTGTCCTGAGCGATCCCTAAGTCTTCAAAGAACCGTTCGAAAATTGGGTCTTAAAAAGGTCTGGCTGGAAGGAGGGAACTACAGTCCGCGTCATAATGATAGGTTCACCCCATTTTAGGACAGCTTGTTAATCTAGAATAAGTTTCGGATAAAACGGGCGTTGTAATCAGTTAGGGCACAGCTCAAAACCTTCCAGGGGAGTATCCATTTGGTTAGAAAAGGCTTCTAGATTTCGAAGGAATTTTATCTCAAAAAAAGGCTTGCGTCATAAAGATAGGTTCACCCCGAATTTTTCCGCAAAAATCATACATTCGGATTTTACTTGTATTTTTAATTAAGTAGCATTGAAGTATACATGAGTTTCCTATACTTGGTTTGACTCGAAAGGTTTCAGGGAATTTTTTGCAAAAGTCGATTTTAACAAAGAAATCACACTTTTTTTAGGATTATCCGGCGATACTCGTTTTCAATTTTTAGTATGTAGGCGATCTCGGAAAGTGCACTTAATGACGAGCATTTTGGTATATAAACGGCTATAGGAACTAAGGTGTTCACGAAGATACAGGTCTAGAAACATCGAACCTACTGGGTCCCATACTAAATGGCCGCCAATCCTTACTTGCGCAGTCCATCCCAACTTTCTTCGTGTGTGTCACCCCAATATCGCCGAAGCCAAAGACGTTGTTATATACCAAAATGCTTGTCTTGAGCTGCTCTTTCAAGTCCATAGAAGGAACTTGCGCTTCCAATTAAATCCAGCCCGTATTGCCACAAAAATAGTAATTTCTTTGTTAAAATCGACTTTTGCAAAAAATTCCCTGAAACCTTTCGAGTCAAACCAAGTATAGGAAACTCATGTATACTTCAATGCTACTTAATTAAAAATACAAGTAAAATCCGAATGTATGATTTTTGCGGAAAAATTCGGGGTGAACCTATCTTTATGACGCAAGCCTTTTTTGAGATAAAATTCCTTCGAAATCTAGAAGCCTTTTCTAACCAAATGGATACTCCCCTGGAAGGTTTTGAGCTGTGCCCTAACTGATTACAACGCCCGTTTTATCCAAAACTTATTCTAGATTAACAAGCTGTCCTAAAATGGGGTGAACCTATCATTATGACGCGGACTGTATAAGCTCTTAACGACCCAAAAGCTCAGCGGACTAGCTTGCTGTATTACAGTATCCGCAGCTAGAAATTACAGTACTTTTGCCTCGTCGTGCACTACAAAATGAACTAATTTCCAACCCATGTCTAGCTGAACACAACGCTTTTCCCCTTTTGCATTATTTTTGTGAGTTTTTAAAAACCTTTATTAATTTCATTCCATAGGGGCATTGCGTATCTCAGTGCAAAAGAGTTTTCAGAGACTAGACGAAGATTTCGGTGGATACATCGGAAGTTAAATCACAGGATACAGTCAATAAATTCTGTACATGACAATGACATCAAATGTGTTTTACCTTATAAAAGAAATAAATTGCACGGCAAAATAAGAGATGACTGGCCATAAGGACCCTTCAAAAATACTTAATCAATGTAGGTATTTGGGGATCTACGATGTGGGCTTGTTGACAATGATGACGATCCATAAGAACCATATTTGTGAAGGGGAAATGAATCGAATGGCTCTTCTTCCATGTACCCACCGAAACTTCGATCGCGCATCGGGCGCAGTTTCTGTCTAAACAAGAGGAATTTCTCAGGATTACTGTAAACCAGCCTTACCTCCGAGCCTCCGTTGATTCAACGTCCTGGCTGAAGCCGCGCAACATTGGGTTCCGCTTAACAACACGTTGCGGGGACGACTGGCTGACAACAGTTTGCGGACTAGAGTTGTAGGCGGTGTGTACCTAAACGTGGGAATAATTTTTGAAATCTGCAATCGCCTTACTTGATACAACGCGACGTGCCCACAATTTCGAACCCTCATCCTCTCACACATATCCAGGGCTTGTACTGTGTTGGCTGGGTGCAGGATCGAGCCGTACTCACACAGAAGGACGTAGGCAAATGGGCGCGGAAGACCGTTGCGATAACTGAAATATTTATGATAGTATGATAGTGTATGTATATCAGGGTTCATTTGCATGCAACTTCCGTGAAGGCGAGAATGTGAAATTTGGGAAGCTTCTGGGGAGTCATTTCCCATTTACGTCACGACCCTCTACTTTTTCATTGCGACTGCCTATCCTTACGCGCTCCTTTAAAATATTCATCGCTTCCTTCCCTTGTGATTTGCCAAGTATCAAGACGTCTGCTCTCCTCAATTACCTCCCCGGGACCACTGATATTCACCATTGGGGGTCGCGTGACGATGTTTTCGTTCCGGGTTCGCTGTCTGACCCACTGGGACCCAGGAAAGCTATTACCCGTGTAAGTGGCAAGAACAATGGTATCTCTGCTCTCAGTGTACCTGAAGTCTAGAGCGAAATAGCTTGGGTTCACAACAAATCTAGATATCACTCGAATTTGCTCATCATTTCCGTCTCGTTTTATTTTACTGGATCAGGGAACATCAGTTCCAAAATAGACTCCACCCCAACTCGTGATTCTTCGTTATTCGAGGGTCAGGGGAAGATTCTGGAACCAACACCAACCCTTTTCGGGGAACAAGTCGAGCTAATTGTGACTCCCCGAAGGCGAGATGATGTGTCTTGAATATTTTTCGAGGTTCCTGGTGGTCTCCAAAATTTGGAGAAGACGCAGAAACGGAATAGCAAAAATAGAACGTTGGATCTAAACTTACACATTCGGGTGGCGAAGTAGGGATATTCTGCGGAGATTCCAGTTCCGCGGGGAATATTTGTAGATTTCGCGGGCACCCGACCATTGCAGCCAAGTCTTTTCGAGGGCGGTTGGCTAAAAATATATTTAAAATTAGATATACCAAAATAAATTACGGCATAACGTTTATTATGGAAAAATCTTGAATATCTAAAAACCAACCTTTGAGGCGTCATCCAGCAGTTTAAATCCGATGACGATGTATCCGGCATGGCGATGAGCCGGAAGTCGATTTTCTGCCGAGGTGGCTGCTTTCTGGATGGTGTATACCTCATCGTAACATCCTATAAAAATCATACATTACTGCCGAGTATTTCTTACCGTATTGACTGTTTGGTGAAGCTCCGCAGTCGCGAATCACTTGCGTCACTTCCCCGGTGCGATTACTGTAGTCGGCCGATGAGAAATGCGCAAAGTGTAGATACGGGAACAGAGCTGAAATTTTTAAAGTATTATCGAAACCATTCTATTTTTACCCCTCCCCCCACACTTTTTATCCTCTTTCAATTAAATGCAATCCACCCGCTGAATATCCGTCAGCGTGAAACCCGATCCCTCATCATGCGGCCCCTATTCGGCAACTTTTCGTCACAAATCTCCTTAGGACTTTGGTGCTATCTTCAAAAAGGAGAAATTTTGAAAGAGCTCGGGGAAAGCTTAGCCTGCAAAGTGTGGCTTACGAAATAGAGAGTTTCGAGGAAACTAACTTTTAGTCTAGGGAGCGTTGAATTTTTTTGTTTCGCCATAATTTGGTGTTTTCTAAAAACCACGGCTACGGGCCCTATGGTGGCCTGCTTTTTATGTAAATTGACTTGTTGACGCAGGGCCCGGCCGGTGAGAGCTGAAATTGCGGGGGGCAAAGGCACACGACCATTTGTCAAGCGGATCGAATTTTGAGGTGAATTTGGAGGATTACTGGGGTTTGGTTGGTGATAAATGGGGGTTGCGTTTTGTAAAGAAAGAGATTCAGGTTCTGGATGGAATTGCTCTGAAAATCCAGGCAAATCCAAAAAGTGGAATCGGCGCAAACGGTTTTATGCAAATTACCGTATTGCTCAGTGATTCTAAAAAAATATCTGGTTTGCAAGGTACTAAGCTATTAGCAGGGGAGAGATATTAGCAACGGGAAGTCAATTTTTATTTTTGTAGGTCGATAACTAGCTGCTAATAATGAGTAGTTGATTTTTATATTTTTTACAGTTGTTTTTGAAAATTAAAATGCTAAACAAGCTAAAAAGTTGTTTGAAAAAAGCTTGAAAATTCAAAAAGTTTTCTTTTTCGCAATTTTTCTTTCATTTGCTACCAAAAAGTCAGCAATTTTTCAAATTTTTGCAAGTTTTTATGAATTTTTATATCTAAAAATGTGTAAAAGGCTTTAAAACTGTTTTATATTCTGTGATAGGTCCGTAAAGGTCTACTGGGAAAATTAGTTTCCCCCCTGCTAACAATCCAGTACCATTAGCAATATACTTTCAGAGCTTTAAAGGGAAGGTAACAGCAATTCGTTTAAATTTTCCGCTTCTTCAGATCAGGTCGGCTGTCCTGCACCCTACCAAAGACCAAAAACAATACACCCCAAAATAGCAAGCCTCAACCTCCCAAAAATTAGCCAACGAAACACTAATCAATGCACCGATGCGCAACCAAATTGTTGCCCTCCTCCCTAGCCGAACTAGGAGAACGAGCAATTCTTTCCGCTTGATCCGCTCCCCTAGAATAAACACGTTCAGGTGTATTGTCTCGTTGTTCCCACCCGGCTCTACTTATATTCCAGGGCTAGGCGCTGATCTTTTTTTTGATGGCGTCCACTTTTGCTAGGGCCCGGCCCCAAATAGAGTAGGCGGGCTTCTGTTGCTGCACTGCACTGCACCCGCTATAACCTGGGCAGAGAGCTATATTTCCCCTAGTGAGAGACATAAACAGCTATAGACACACACAAACAAACGGCCCTCCGGGGTGTATTGCTTCAGAATGCATTGGTGCGAGGAGTGTAGGTAAAAGAGCCCAACACCTCCTCCTACTCTTTCCGCCCAATTTCAGGCTCCCAGAAAAACATCGGGGAAACCGAGTCTGGAGGAAGTCTGAGGAGGGGAAAGGTCGACCGTGCAAAGTTTAGACTCCCAGATTCCGGAAGCCAGAAAGGTAGCAGGGTGGAAGGGATTGAGTGTAAGCTACACCAAAGTCTTACTTCCGTTAGGGGCCGGGGTAAGAAGATTTTCAGTAAAAAACATACGTTTCAGGTCGATACATTTCAGAAGTAGTCCTTCGGTGAACAGCGGACTTTCTTTGATTACATGGCATTCGGAGACAGCCTTCTCATACGTTGAATCTTCAGATGAGAAGCTGAAATTAAAGTATTATTAAATCTCCTATTAATATAGAACGCAACTTTTCCCTTTGAGGAATTTCGCAATGAAATGTTATATATTAGCAATGAAACAACCCCACGCATTTTAGTTATGTCTACAGTACTCCGCCAAGAACCCTGAGCCCCTACAGTAACCCTAACCCACCGTAAATAACGCAATATTGGATCAAGACTGTGCTGAAATTCTAGCGAAAATCGACGCATCTCTTGTGGTGGATTCATAGCGAATTACAGCAAATGGGAAGCGTTTCACTCTTCTCGACTGAGCGAGCCGGGGGGTAACGTCTCCGTAGAATACGAAAAAGGGGCGGGCCCTTCTTCGGCTTCTGCGGCTCAGATGTAAGGAAAAGGGAAAGGGAGCACTGGGAGGAACGGCTTCGGATCCCACCGGGACCTCCGCGACACTCCAAACAACAGCCCCCATTCCAATGGAGACGACGAAGGGATGAGGGAGGAAGTGTTTTCACGATTGACAAGGGTCATCTCCGGGTTCGAGAAGTGCCATTTTGTGGTTTAGACTAAAGCTTTTTAGGGGGTTGTACAGCTAGAGATTGAAACAGACTTATTAACGTTTTACGTTTTAAAATTCGACGATGGCGTAGACATGGTGAAAATCCAAAAGTAAACCATTGAATAAATAGACAATATTATAACACTAAGCTATTGTCTAACAGGTTTCCTGGATTTTTTAGCCATAACCATTTTATTTTAACTTTTTATGGTCTTTTAAAAAATCTTTAAAGTGATAAGTGGAGAGCTTTTTTACTCTCTATCGAATGGCCGTGACAGTATTTCAAAAAATAACAAAAATGCCGAAAACTAACTTACCACACACAGTCGAAAAGTTTTTCTACGTTTTAAATACAGTAATTTTAGCTAACACTATTTTGAGCTTGAATAGAAGCTGACGATCCATACATACAGTCCCTTATTACATCTTTGATGTGCCTTGTGCCTAAGAAAATCAAAACTTGCTTATCGCATTTGTAAAGGTTTCAAAAGGTATTTCATAATTTCAAAAGTAAAACCTGGTTTTTTTGTTGACGCATAAGACCTACACCTGATTTCATGTTTCCCAAATACCCACACACGTGGCTTTTCCTGACTTTTCGCTCCCCCTACCACCAACCACCCATAATTCTTTCCCCCACCCCAAACATAGCCCCTCCAGATGCTATTTTTACCCTGCCCTACCCCAAATCGGGCCCAGGCCCAAAGAACAGCTTTTCGTTCCATTTTTGGTCGGCACCCAGGGATTTCCCATGGGCTACGAACTCAGCCACCCAGCCTCAACTACTCTCCCCCGAAAAAACGGCATCCACAAATTGAAGTGTCCCCGCGGGTGAAGTGGTTGATTTGTGGATTCTTCGTATACGGATTTATGCTCCCGCAGGTTTCCAGGGTCCCTCGAAATAAGCGCGGATTCTCGGAGCCTGTTATCCCCGGGGAAAAAAAGCAAAAAGGGGGATTCCAGGCTTGAAGGTAATCGGCGCGTCTGGGAAGGGATGGAACAAAAAACAAAGAGAATTTCCTGATTTAGTCTTTGGTATTAGGGAAAATAGGCAGTAAAATGGAAACTGATTTTATAAAATTTCCCAAGGGCCAAAAAAATTGAAAAACAAACTTGAAGCCGGAGCAGGATGGAGCGCAAACACCGTCAGAATGCACGAATCCGAGCAACACCGAAACGCTGCTCATCGATGAGGAGCAACCAGTGTAGTCGATAGTCTCCTCCGATTTCTAAAAAACTCTTATTAATCAAAGATAATTAAATAATATTTTAACTTCTGAGGCAACTATTTTTTTTATTTGGCGCTTAAATTATTGATAGGATCTTACCTAAGACCACTTCACAAAATTCCAATAAAAAAACCAAATTTGCTTTTAAATTTCATTTCTAATTTTGGGACCCAATTCCACGCTGTGATTTTTGATGGACCTATGGTTTTTTCCATTTTAGATTTTAGAATTTTCCCATTAAAAATTACGAGCAACCACCACACCCTAAATTTAAAACCCAAAAACCTAAAACCAAATTGGTTTCACCCAAAATCCGCTTGGAAGGAAGGGAAGGGTTCTTGCAACAAAAAATTCGGACAGCAAAAATCGCAATCGCAAAATCCTGAGATCCCAGTTAAATTACACGGGGCGCAAAATTCTTGTAAAAAATGGGTCGTCCGTCAAGTGCGGGCGGAGATGGATGACGTGCCGGTAATTGGAGCGAGAAGAGGTTGACAGCTCGCAAAAGAGGGGCCACACAAGAAAATACGAGGAGGCCCATGGCGCATGAAGTGCTCACCGCTAAAGAAACTCTTTTTCCGATCCCTCCTAATTACGCTCCGAATTTAGCGGGTCAGAGGATTAAAAATAGGCCCCGCACAGCATCTACTGCGTATGAAGGAAACCCGAAATTGTGGGTGCTTCTCTAGCTAATTGATACCCCCTATTTCTTGGATCAAGCTTCAAGTAGGCGCCTGCTATTTACGTATCCGGTATCTATTTTCAGATACAACTTCTGAATAAATATATTCTGCTAAAAATCGCATTTTTCGGTCCGCAATACTTGTTTTGATTCAATGCAAAAAAAAGTTCAAGCTCCGGAAATAAGCCGTTTGCCCTCTGGCGGCAAATATTTTTGCTGGCGCTTGAACGAAAGGGGATATTTGAGGGCTAAGGTGGTAGGGAAGGGGTTTCATCGTTGGACGAAATTCTTCGAATTTATATAGGGTTTGAGATTCAAACCTTAAAAATCAAATCTGTAGGTTATAGAAGTTTGAAGATTTTATTTTCAAATTATATCAAAATTGGAACGTGTAAGGCGTTAATATTTTGCTGCATATTATATGTTTAAGCTGCTGGTTATTAGGCTTATTATGTTCCTTACAAG